CTGCCCGATGTGGGGCTTGAACTCACAAACTATGAAGTTGGATGCTTAACTGACAGGCACCCAGGGGCCCCTACACTGAACCCACATAATTCTACTGCCACGGCGCAACTGTGATTACCTTTTTGCACATTTCCTTCTGGTCTTTTTTCCAAATGCATATTTTATTTTTATAGTTGATTGTACCTTTGTTGTCCTTACCATTTTCTACAGCTCATTTCACTTGATACTCTTTCTCCATAGTCATAATTTGTTCAACTCTTTTATGTTATCTTTGTAAAATAACTATAGATTCATAGGAAAGTGCAAAAAATTGTACAGGGAACTTCTGTGTACCCTTCATCCAGTTTCTCCCAGTAAGAACGCGTGATTCGACTATAATACGATACCAGAACCAGAAAGTTGATGCTGATACAAAGAACAGAGTTTGTTCAGATTTCATCCGTTTTATGTGCACCCATTTGTGTAGTGTGTATGTATGTTTGCATCTGTCTGCATAGCTGTATGCAACTTTATCATAGGTTTAGAGTTGTGTATCCATCACCGTTATCAAAATAGAGACCTTTTCCACCATGGAAAGGCTCCTTCTTGCTACCCCTTGATAGCCACACCTATTCCCTTGGCTTCCCCATTCCCAATCCCTGGAAACCACCAATATTTTCTCAGTTTCCATAATGTTGTAACTTCAACAATGCAATATGATATAATCATAGAATGTTTAACATTTTGCAAGGTTTTTTCCCTCAGCATATGTCCCTTGAGGTTCATGCAAATTGTTGTGTGTGTCAGTAGTTCATTCTTGTTCATTGTTCAGTAGTATTCCATCGTTTGTGCAAGAGTTGGCACACATTCATCCATTGAAGGACATCTGGGTTGTGTCTAGTTTTGTCTATTACAAATAAGGCTACTATAAACATTTGTGTGCAGCGGGTTTTTTAATTTAATTTAATTTAATTTTTTGTTTTAGAGAAAGAGAGAGCACGAGTGGGGTAGAGGGGCAGAAGGAGACAGAGAGAGAAAGAGATAGAGTGTCCTCAGCAGACTCCATGCTCAGCATGAAGCCTGATGTGGGACTCAGTCCCACAACCCTGGGATTAAGACCTGAGCCAAAATCAAGAGTCAGATGCTCAACCAACTGAGCCACCCAGGAGCCCCTGTGTACAGGTTTTTGTGTGAATATGTTTTCATGTATCTGGAATAAACTGCTGGATTGTACGGTGTTACAGACGGAATATTCGTGTCCCCCTCAAACATTCCTGTGTTGAAGCCCTTACTGCCAGTGTGACTGTAGTTGGAGTAAGGAAGTAATTAAGGTTAAATGAGCTCATAAGCGTGGGGCCCCAAACTGTAAGACTAATATCCTTGTAAGAAGAAGACACCCGAGAGCTCGCTAGCTGTCTCTCTCCCTCTCTTTTCACATGCGCGCCCTGAGAAAAAGCCATGTGAGGAAATACTGAGAAGGTGGCCATCAGTAAGCCAGGAAGAGAGCTATCACCAGAAACCAAATTGGCCAGAACTGTGAGAAAATAAGTTTCTGTTGTTTAAGTCACCCAGCCTGGGGTATTTGGGCCCACGCCAACTACTATGTATGGTGAGTGCAGTTTTAGTTATACAAGAAACTGTCAAACTGTTTCCCAGAGGGGCTGTATCATTTTACTTTTCTGTCATTAGTTATGAATGATCCCATTTCTTTGCCTCTTCACCAGCATTTGGTATCGCCATTACTTTTTATTTTAGCCATTCTGATAGATAAGTAGTGATATCCCTTTTTTAATTTGCATTTCTTTAATGGCTAATAACGTTAAAACATTTTTCAGGTGCCATACTTCCTTTTGCTTCCCTAAAACTTTGAAATGTCAGGTGTAAACTTCAGTCCACAAAAAATCATAGGTGCTAAAACTTTAACCTTATTTTTCCTAAAGTGAATGCACTGTTTCATATACCTATATCAGTCCGCTCTTGCCAGAATAATTCAGCATAAGAATTAAGCTCAAAATTTCCATAGAATACAATAATTAACTGATCGAGTTATTAGAACGATAGCAGCTGGGTGCCTGCAAATGAAGACTGTACTCGCTAGGTGGCGCCCTCCATGCAGCAAGAAGTGGTTACACCTGCCCAAACTCACTGTGCTCTTGGAGAGTCGCTAGGCTGATAGCTCAAGAAATGCCATAGACGTAAGTATATCTTTTCAGGAAGGCATCTGGAAAATTTGTCATAATATCTGTGTTAGGGTTCTCCACAGAACCAGAACCAATACGGTGTGTGTGTGCACACATAAAGAAATGTATTATAGGGGCCCCTGGGTGGCCCAGTCAGTTAAGCGTCCGACTTTGGCTCAGGTCATGATCTCACAGTTCTTGAGTTCGAGCCTCACATGGGGCTCTCTGCTCTCAATGCGGAGCCTGCTTTGGATCCTCTGTCCCCATCTTTCTCTGCCCCTTCCCACTTACGCTTGCTCTCGCTCTCTCTCTCTCTCTCTCTCAAAGATAAAATAATATTTTTTTAAATATCATGAAATAGACCCATGCAGTTAGGGGGGCTGACAGGTCCCATGATCCGCAGGTGGCTCGCTGGAGACCCAGGACAGCCAGTGCGTAGTTCCAGCCTGAGTCTAAAAGCGTGCGAAGCAGGAGAGCCCCGGGGTAGTTCCTTCCGCTCTGAAGGCTGGCCAGCTAGAGATGCACGAAGAGGTATGTTTCCGTTTGAGTCTGAAGGCAAATGTCCCTGTTCAAAAGCAGTCAAGGAAGAGAAACTCTGTCTTATCTGAGGGAAAGGTCAACCTTTTTGTTCTATCCAGGCCTTCAGCTGACTGGCTGAGGGCCATGCACATAATGGAGGGCAATCGGCTTTACTCAGTCTCCTGATTTAAAGTTTAAACCCAAACACCCTTGCCGACACATCCAGAATCATGTTTGACCAAATACCTGGACACTCCGTGGCCCAGTCAAGTTGATACATAAAACTAACCATCACAGTATCCTTGCGGACAAGAGACAGAAGTGGAAACACAGTCTAGAATCTGTCCACAGATGAGGATTTTGTTGACGGACCAGCATCAAAATGGCAGCAGGCCTGTGGCCAAAGAATGACTCACACAGAGTCCTTTTCAGTATAGTACCATGCGTGTCAACGATTATGTCCCGCTGGGTGCCTAAAAAACAATGAGTCTCATTTGTTTGGTGCTGATATTCTTCCCCCTGGAAGAGATATGGCTCACAGGGAGGTGGTGTTAAATGCTTCTATTCTGTATTGACATTTGCCCATTAGGTCTCCATACTTCCCATCCCAGAGAAAGCGGGTGTATGATGGGGCCCAGAGCATCCTCCTCACGGAGTGTATGTGACTTAAACCTTTTACTGTGCTCCTTCCTATGGAAGCTTGTATCTTTAAGTGACAAAAGCTAGGACAAGATAGTAGAATACCATTTGTCTAAAAATACAAATCTACATGTGTGTATAAACGTAGGGTAATATGAGCCTTGTTATTAGGGAAAACAAAAGGCAAGGAGGCGCTGAAGCGAGGAGTGTTCAGTCTTTGAACTTCTTGGGTTTTTTTTTTTTTTCAGTTTTTTCAAGTTTATTATTTTGAGAGAGAGAGAGAGAGAGAGGGAGAGCATCAGCAGGAGAGGGGCAGAGACAGAGGGAGAGAGAGAGAATCCCAAGCAGGCTGCACACTGACATTGTGGGGCTCAGTCCCACGAGCCATGACATCATGACCTGAACTGAACTCAGGAGTCAGATGCTTAACCAACTGAGCCGCCCAGATGCCCCCTGAACTTCTTCTTTGCAATGTGCATGAATTAACTTCTTATTCATTAGCATTTCATCAAATAAAATAGAGAAATATACTTCAAATTTCAGAAATTTGCATTTTACCAAATAAATGGTGGAAGAGAGTGCTGGGGGGAAGAGAAGTAAGGTGGAAAAGGAAAGGAAAGGAAGGAGGAGGGAGAAAAGAAGCAAAGAGAAGAAAAGGAAAGGGGAACGTAGCAGGGGAGGGAGGCAGAGGACAGGAGGAAAAAGGGATGGGGGTTGAAAGAGAGAAGAAAATTTCCTGTTTCCATTGCCTCCTCCCATCAGCTTCCTCCCCTGGACAGGCTCTCGTGCAGGCTTCTTCCTGGTCCCTCTCATGACACCATCACTTTAAAGTTGAAGGTTTCTTTGGGCGCCTGGGTGGCTCAGTCGGTTAAGCGTCTGACTTTGGCTCAGGTCATGATCTCACGGTTCATGGGTTTGAGCCCCGCGTCAGGCTCCATGCTGACAACTCAGAGCCTGGAGCCTGCTTCAGTTTCTGTATCTCCCTCTCTCTCTGCTCCTCCCCCACTCACACTCTGTCTCTCTCTCGTTCAAAAATAAACATTAAAAGAAATAGAACTTAGGCAGCAGGCTAGACACGGCCAGTGAGCTGTGTTTGCCATCTTGTGAGCTAGAAGAACTGGGTAGAGCACTGAAGTGTTCGTGAAGCCACCATTCCAGTGCTTGCATTGACAGAATTGGCTATCCTGAGACCCTAGAACATGTAACCTTGTTTGGAGGATACAGAAGACCCCTTCCTGGCTCCAAAAGGGTCAAGAAAGAATGGAGTAAAAGGTGGAGGGAGGTGGAATTAACGTTCATAACTTCTTTTGAAGCTTAGTACCACCAAGAAAATCATATGTTGCAAAATAAAAGGAATTATCTTAATATTTGCAATATGAATATCATGGGCCTGGCTGGCTCAGTCAGTGGACCGTGTGACTCTTGATTTCAGGGTTGTAAGTTCAAGCCGCACATTGGGTGGAGAGATTACTTAAAAATAAGATCTTTTTAAAAAATCATGTGCTATTTTCCATTTGGAAAACTTCATCTTCACTAGTAAACAAAACTGGGAGTTTAGAGTGGCTGTTCCATGACTGTCACTAAGTAATCATAAAAAAAAAAAAACAACACAGTTGCAGTTTGCTACTGTTTGAATGTTTATAAAGAGTATACATTTTAAATGATCGGCTGATAAAGAATAAAGATAGAAACATATTTTCAAAACTGTTTAAACTGGTCTTTCTACCCAAATACAGCACGTTTCTAAAGTCCATTTCTCTCAGGAAAAAAAAAAAAACTTGGAGGAATTTATTTAATTAACAAATAATAACTCTTTACCCTGAAACCTTTGCATTTTTATCTTTCCATGGTATATGTTCTTCTTTGGCTTGCCTTCTTTTTCAACTTGTCTACTCCTTTAAGTGAATCATACCTTTTCTTTTTTTTTTATCGTTTTTATTTGTGCTTCATTGCTATACCACCTTTGCTTTGAAATGAGTCTCTATAGATCCTCTTCCCACATGCTTTCATCACGTGCAATAGTAAGAGATTTCCTGTGAATTCACCCTTGACCTCCGTCCAACCTTTACTTTTTACTCTGGAGTCCCCTTCACCCCCCCACCTCCTGCACATTCTCAGAATCAGTGGAGAAAGTTGCTCTCGCATGGAGGAGATGAGAAGGAGGAACGCAAACCTGTCTATGGATTCACGTTGCTATACTGAGAAATATGGAGACTAGGGGTGCTGATTTCACCCGATACCAGCTGTAATAGGCAGTTAATGACTATGTCCTTGGCTTTGGAGGTCTCCAGATTCTTCTCTTTGGACACTTGGAGACTAATTTGATCCACACTTGTCATGATGAGTTCAGACGCCAGAATCTGGGTGGGAGAACTGTCATGAAACTCAATGTCCATAATGTACTGCTTGTATAACTCGACCAGCTTCTGCTCCAGGTACTCGTTAAGCACTGCGTTAGAAACAGGCTTCTGCATTTGCAGGCTGCTTTTCTCTTTGACGCTGGTTATTCTCCAGTAGGACGAATACCGCTGTATGGGTTTTTGGGGAAGGTCGCCGGGCTGAGTGGAAACGGAATCCTCCATGGACAAAGGAATCTCAGACGATTTCAGCAGAGGGCCATAGTCAAAGCTGCTCTCAGGGGGAAAATCCGTGGTCACTGAATTAATAGCCAGCACCTGGCCCCCTGCAATATGTAAGTCATTGTAATTCTTGCAAATACTTTTACAAGATGGTGGAACCAAGTAGGTCTCTCTGCTGGAGTCTCTACTTACTTCCACTGCAGCCAAGCTGGGGCTTTCAAACACAGGATTGGGGTTCGTCTGCAGCATTGTGGTTCTCCGGTTTCTACTGTGTTGGCTCTCTCTTGAGCCCACTGAAGAAATAAACGTGTCTGAGGATTTGTAGCTCACGTACAGACTTCGGACTTGAGTTTCATCCACAGAACAATAAGAATGAGTAGCGGATTTTGTCTCTTCCTTCTCAACCACCTGCTCATTATAAGATGAACAGCTCCAGTGGATGTCCTTCTGGTAGGCAAGTCCACTGAGATACCCTTCCGACAGCATTCTGGAAAGAGAGTTGATAAATAACAACAGGGAAAATGAAGATTGGAATTCTAAAAAAAAAAAAAAAAAAAAAGGCAGTTGATCAAAAATAAAGGACAATAAAGGCAACGATTGCATTCATCCACCATGCCATTAATAATTAGGTGCCTGCTGTGTGCCAGAACTATGGGAGAAGAAAAGATGAATAGGACATAGTCCCATCTTTCAAGAAGGGACCATGTGAGGACAATTGGGGGGCAGACAATGCCCATATGACATCACTGAGAACTGTAATAGTGATGGGCACCGAGGAAGTACATAGAGGGGCCTCTAACACAGCTTGGGACAAAGGCTGAGACGTCAAAGGATGTGTCCTAGAGAAGGTGACCTTTTAGCTAAGCAGTGAAAATGGGGAGTTTCAGCCATATGCAGAGTTAGTAAAGAATATGGTGCACAGCCAGTGCCCCATGTGCGAAGATGCTGAATAGAAGTGGAAGGGGCTGGGAAAGAGATTGCACTGGGGTCTTGGAGGGCCTTGGAAGTCATGCCGCAGAGTTTGCTTTCTGCCCCAGAGAAAATGGTGAAGGACTGAGAAGCTGCAAATTGAGGAAGCAGCTAGTGGGTTATAGGAAAAACATTGCAGAAACTTCCACACATCCTGCTGAAAAGAAGGGCCGTGTCTTACTTATCTTCGTATTGATCCCTGGGAGCTAGCACAGGTGTTTGCATTTTGTAGGGACTTAAAAGATATTTGTTAACTTCAATTAAATAATAATGGATGGCACTGGCACATAGGAACATAATTCACTGCCCACCCATCACGAAGGACCAGGGAGCCTCCCCTACCTTTGCAGCCCGGGATGAGTTTCTTGCTCTCTCCTGCACGCTTCCCACCATGCCACATCCTAGGAATGTGTGTGTCCCCAACCGATATGTTTACCTCTCCCCTAGTTACCAGGGAGCTTTACTGACCTCGGGCTTTGGCTACACCTGCCTCTCCTCCCCACCCTCCGCGGTTGTGACTGGAGTCTGGAGTGGCTAGAACAGGCTGCAAACTAGCAGCTGCGTTTTCTAAAAAAGGAAGGCTGTGGCATTCCTGGCACTGGGGTGCCAGACAACAGAAAAGATAACTGGTCCTCTTTGGCTTCCAGGGCAGCCTTTTCAAACAGACCTATCAACTTGAGTCTGAAATTGAAAAGTGAAATTAGGAAATAATTTTATCTAAACAGAAGGGTCCTATTTTTATATTTTACTGTCTTCTATATTCAAGGTTATTTCCCAAGTGAATTTTTAATTGTAATAAGGGTAATGTGATAAAAAGAATATAATTAAGAAAATTAGTATCATTGTTTTAATTGTATAAGGGTCGTATTTTTGGTGTTTATTTTCCCTTATGGAACTACTTGGAGATTTATTCAGTAAAGATATCAATTAAATATTTACTATTTTCTACCCACTGTTATATACCATAAAGATACAAAGTTAAAGGTTTTCAACAAATTTGTGAGGTCATTGTTGTATGCTGGATAGAATTATAAGCAACAAGAAAATGTTTCCTGAAGAAGCTTTCTAAGTGTAGTTCTGCCTTCAAATTGAACATCAAGATGAAAAGGCAGATCTTACGTATATGAGAAGCAGATAATTTACAGAGCAAAAGAGTTTATCATGAAGCTTTAACAGTGATAGTTAGTTCATGACTCGACTGCAGTTGGGGCCTTCAACCTTCAAGGTCCCAGAATATCGTTATGGAAAACCAGAGCAAAAATGTCACTGTCTACTTTTGAGTTTATAGATGAGCTTCTAGAATTCTTGGCAGAATTCAATTTTAGAAAAATGGCTTTTGGAACAACATAACTTGAGCTTTTAAACTTGAGAATCCAGAGCCCCAAAGGATCCAGAGCACAATATTTATGCATCACCAGCAGACTAGTGGATATAATCCCCCATGGATGAAAGTGGTATGACTCCAGATAGGGCACAGAGCTCTTTTCTTCCCAAATCTATCTCCCACATAAAATCTGGGGAATCAGAAAATCTGCTCCTTCTCCCACACTGTTCAGCACGCTTTGGGGAAGGAGCAGAGCCAGCCATGTGGATTACTGGAGTGGACAAGCCTGAGGTGGCCTCCTCAAGTCTGCTCACAAACCAGTATGCCACCCAGAGCCTCCAAACCTGAAGACCAAGAATTGGGTGAGAAGAGGGGCGCCTGGGTGGCTTAGTCGGTTAAGCGTCCGACTTTCGCTTAGGTCATGATCTCGCGGTTCGTGGGTTCGAGCCCCACATCGGGCTCTGTGCTGACTGCCAGCTCAGAGCCTGGAGCCTGTTTCAGTCTGTGACTCCCTCTCTCTCTGACCCTCCCCTGATCCCACTGTCTCTCTCTCTGTCTCCTAGAAATAAATAAAACATTAAAAAAAAAAAAAAAGAATTGGGTGAGAAGATTGAAGACATATCTATAGACTATTCACCAGGGCCCAGTGAATGGTAAGTTTCCATGGATGCCAGTATGACTCCATGTTGACAACCAAACATGGCCGTACTTCCGTATCCATAACGGACCCTGTAGCTCTATGGGGTCCCGTAGAAGAGGGAGAATTTACAGGGGAACCCAAAGAGGAGGGAGTCCTGACGAGACTGAAGAAATCCTGATTGACAGTGATCACTCAGGAGACTGTGAGCTCAAAAGCAAGATCAAATTGAGATAGAGGAAAGCAAAGATCTCCAGGAACATATAGGAAGTAAGACCAATCCATGTATTCTTTTCTTTTTCCCCAAACTTTAATAGAACAACAAAAAGTATTTATTTGAAATGTTAATATTCAAAAGAAAAGTGAAAATGGGAGAAGAGACAAGTTCAATAACGTTTCAGAAGCTGAAAAGCAGGAAGCCAAGATCAATGTCTTTGGAGACCTGAGAAAACAGATTCTTATAAGAACCATGGAGAAACCGAAGAGCCAGTCTTGTTGACATTCCCCTACATGTTCAGGAGTTGGTGGTACCATGTAACTTTTGGGAATAGGGTTCTCTCATTCATTCCCTACAACCAGGTAACCATCTCCCCTTCTCAGCCCCAAAGGAAAAGTTGAGATTTATTCTCTGAAGAATAAAATAGAGTCTCCGGAGTATGGGATACCACCTGAGGGTGGAATTACTGAACCGATAATAGGCTACAAAAACGTATGCATGTGGGATTGTGAGATCCCCAACCTCCCTACCCCCCTTAGTTTCCAGAATGCTGCCACAGGGGCATTCACGTTCTAGGCAGGATTCAGGGAAGACTGTTCTGGGGAAACTGGACTAGTCTGAGAAGGAGAGCAATTGACACCAGAGGATTCACAAGTAAATGGGGCATCCAGACCACCCTTCATTCAAGTTCACAACCACAAGAGCCCACTGAGCTTTTTGGATCTCCATCCTTAAATGTGAGTAGAATTTTGAAGCATCCGAAGAAAGCTCTGAATGACAGAGACAGAAGGAAACACTTAGAGGAATTAATTCTGGGTGCGTGGAACATGAACTACTGTCAATAAGCTCAAGGGGAAAGGTTAGTAACACTACGATCTTTAAATTAAAACTAGGTTGCTATAGAAAACATTCTGAAGTTGTTTGAAGTGAAAACTGTTAGAGAATTTTAAAGCCCAGTAGAAAGATTGAAAAACAAAGTGGAGGCAAACTCCCATTTTGAAAGTAGAACAAAACTACAAGATAAAAAATAGTAAAGATAAAACTAGAAAACCAGCCCAGGGGATTCATTATCTGAGCAATAGAAGGCTCAGAAGGAAGAGAATATAGGAGAGAAATTTAAACAATTAGAGTGTTTCCCAGAACAAAAGGATGTGAGTCCACAAAATCCTGGATAAAAACCCACTTTCTTGGGGCGCCTGGGTGGCTTAGTCGGTGAAGCGTCCGACTTTCGCTTAGGTCATGATCTCGCGATTCGTGGGTTCGAGCCCCACGTGGGGCTCTGTGCTGACTGCCAGCTCGGAGCCTGGAGCCTGTTTCAGTCTGTGACTCCCTCTCTCTCTGACCCTCCCCTGCTCATGCTGTCTCTCTCTCTCTCTCTCTCCTAGAAATAAATAAATAAAAAAAAACATTAAAAAAACCCACTTTCTCTATACTTCCCTTCTCGTTATTGTAAACCACTTGGGAAAAAGAGAAAACACTCTACATTTCCAGAGAGAGAGAGAAGGAAAAAAACCCAAGACCCAACATGTTTAGACTTCTCAACAGCAACGTGAGAAGCAAGAAGATTATGTAACAATATCTAAAACTTTCTGAATGAGGGATGCCTGTGGGTGACTTACTCGATTAAGCATCTGGCTCTTGCTATCAGCTCAAGTCATGATCTCATGGTTTTGTGAGTTCGAGCCCCGCATCAGGCTCTGTGCTGACAGCATAGGGCCTGCTTGGGATTCTCTCTCCTACTCTCTCCCTGCCTCTCCCCAGCTCATGCTATCTCTGTCTCTCTCAAAAATAAATAAAGTTAAAGAAATTATTGAAAAATGTTTAATGAAATTTGTATTCAACCTAGAATTTAATGACCAAATAATCAAGTATACAGATAAAATAGAGATTTTATTTTTAAGTTTGTTTATTTTTGAGGGAGAGCACAAGCAGGAGAGAGGCTGAGAGAGAAAGGGAGAAAGAGAACCCCAAGCAGGCTCCACGTTGTCAGTGCAGAGCCTGACGCAGGGCTTGATCTCCTGAACCATGAGATCATGACCTGAGTTGAAATCAAGAGCTCACTCAACTGACTGAGCCACCCAGGCACCCCAGAATAGAGAGATTTCTTACGTACAAGTCTCAAATAGCTCATCTCCCCGCCACCTTTCTCAGGAAGTCAGTGGAAGATGTGCTCTACTGAAAGGAGTGAGTCAATGACAAGGAATGCAGGAAAAAGGAATGTGGCACAGGAGAGACAAAGGAGCCCTCAGACTGTGAGAGCCTCAGCTCCTGTGCCAGACCCTGCACTATAAAGGGCCCCACTCTGTCCCTCCTCGAGTTTGCCTGTCCCAACAAGGTAAG